TTCAGGTGCTTTGCTTGACCACAGTTGGGGCATCATCTTCCGGGCCGGAGGTCTTCAGGTGCTTTGCTTGACCACAGTTGGGGCATCAACTGGAGGTGAGAGGTTGATAGGACTGTGAGCTACGTTGACCTTGTGTGGCACGTGCGCTGGTCCTTGACGAGGTGCCACAACGCGGTCCTGAGCCATTCTTCCGGGGCGGCCGTTGTTTGTTAACCACGTCCTGGTTTCTGGCTGGCGCTGCCGACGGTTCGTCGCTGGTTTTTCGCAGCTGTTGCTGCTGTCGTAGGACGGTCTCCTTCAAGCGAGCTTTTGCCAAAACGCTAGGGAGTGTCCAATTTGCATCCATTTGCAGAGACTCTGAGTGCTTGGCATCACTGAGGCTGACTAAAAACTGGTCGCGGATCATGCGTTCCTTTTCCTTGTAGTCACACCAGTCCGCCAGTGTGTGCAACGCGGTGATGAATTGGTCGACGGACGCTCCAGGTTGTATGCGTCGGTCAAAACATGCACTCTCGTAAACGAGGTTCTGTGTGGTCACGAAGTGATCGTCGAACGCTTCAGGGGCGAAGCTCCTTATGGCGTGCCTTGTGGGTACCCGTTGTGCGTAACCGCCCCTTGTTAATTTTGAACCCGCCATAGAGGGCAGTACTTGTTCTATACGTTGAAAATGCAAATGGTATGACACAAGAGGGCGTTACTTGTAAAAAAAGGATTGATGTCTCACATACGGAAGGAGAGAGATGATCGCGTGACTACGATGACATGTTCTTCGGCGGCCCTGTACGCCAGGGGGCGCTAATAGAATAAAATCACCATTTAGGCGCACTCGCGCATTCAGAGGCTTGGCGATGGAGGATAGACAAGGCTGCAGAGCGGCGTGCGCGCAGAACACGCGCTCGAAAAAGGGACCCCGACGTGCGGGCGCGCCACGAAGCTGCGCGGCGGCACCACGAGTACCCTGCAGTACGACAACGGGAGGCCGAAGTGGCGCGGCAGTGGCGTGCGGGCACAGCTTCGCCCCACTCTCTATAATTCACCCCGTGGATATGCTGTAATTTTTTGCCTGATGACTTCATAGTACTTCTGCTGTCTTCGGATAGTGCGAAGGTCGAAAAAATTACTCTAGCTTACCTGCCCATTGTGCAGAGAAGCGTCCGGACTTGCGCTTCTTCACTTCGCTCATTTAGGCCAGAGGCAAAGCGGTAGTCGTCGAATAGTTGGATCAAGCAAGGCCATTCAGAAGTACCCTCGAAGTCAAACGTAGTAGAGCTGGAACTTCGAACATGCCGTGAACTGGCTTGACATCTTTGTCTTTTGACATGGCGCCGCTTGACGAATACTGCTGCAACGCCCCTCGAATATTAGAAGACGGCCACTTTTGACACCACGTCGCTTCGTGGCCTAGCGAAAGGCCATGCACATCCGGGCCGGCCGCAGGAGCAGAGGAAGGGGCTGAGCCACCCGCTGTTGTGTGCGAGATAACATCAACCCTTATTCCATGCAATCAGCATACGTATGTAGCAGATACTCATGTTACCATTGGCGTCACGTACAATCAAATCTTTATATTTGTGGGCAATAGTGCCAGATTCCGCGAACACTTAACGTGCATAGGCGCTATCACCACACTCATGTTCATGGAATTGTTATTTTCCATAGTTCAGGAAGCCGCCGGCATAACTTTTTTCATCTGTCTTGCAGATATGGAGGGATCTTTTCGTCCCGTGTTGTACCGCATGCCCAGAGGTCTGAAACATCATTTTTGCGGTGATAGTGGGCGCGACGAAACAATACGAGTTGTTTAATTGATATGTGGGGTTTAACGTCCCAAAACCACCATATGATCATGCGAGACGCCATAGTGGAGAGCTCCGGAAATTTCTACCACCTGGGGTTCTTTTACGTGTACCCAAATCTGAGCACACGGGCCTACAACATTTCCGCCTCCATCGGAAATGCAGCCGTCACAGCCGGGATTTTACCCCGTGACCTGTGGGCCAGCAGCCGAGTACCTCAGCCACTAGACCACCATGGCGGGGCGAAACCATACGAGTCGAAAATGCGTTCTGAGGACTGTAGTAGAAATCGCTTTGTGTCCTGCCGGTTTGCGAGGAATCCAATCAAGGCCGACATTTAAAAAACGAACTCATCTCTGTCGGGCTTCCGTTCGACAACGACAATCGTGGTGGGTTCAAACTCTGCTAGATCCTTCAGGGCTCTCTCAGTCTCAGCAAACGATGTGATCAGAACTCGATTCATCAATCGCATATCCTGAGGTTCATGCCTCACATCTGGAGTATAAACTGCGCTTCCTTGGGTATCTGCTCCGCCTCTTCTACACTGTCAGCTCCAGTAACGAGGTATTTGACATACAAGTTGCCACTCAGGATCTTAGCGGTGTGGGGAAATTTTTCTTTGGCACTTTTCAAATGATGACGCAAGGTGGATGCGAGGAGTAAAGACCTGCACATAGCGCTGAGTGGTACCCTTGTTATTCAGTATTCTTCGACTTGGGGTAGCGTTTTGCCCCGTTTTGGTGTACGTGGATACCACAAGTATAGGAGGGCGTCGCAATCTTTCTCAGCCAGCTCACTGTGGAGAAAAGCCTTTTCTATTTGAGAATAATCCGCGAATAAACATTGCCACAACAGCATTGCCCGTTCAAATGCCTTGCTCTCCACGAAAGCCGACGTGAAATCGATGTAGCAGAAGACTTCTGTGCCAGGGTTGCAAACAATGGGTCCGGGATCAACATGAGTAACCTACAAAACGCGCCGGTGTCCAGAGACACTCGGATGGACAATATGTTCTCTCTAGAGGAGCTTCAGGCAATATTGGCAGCATGCAAGCGCTCGTCATTTCCTGGACCCGATGGAGTCATTTACATTTCATTTCATTTCATTTTATTTACCCTCAAGGCCATATGGCATTATAGAGGGGAGTGGAAATAAAGTTTACAAGGAAAAAGAAAATACAGCATGAGAATATACAGCATAGAAAATACATATTATACAGCAGAATGTACAGCAGAGAAAATACAGCATGAGAATTAACAATGCAACAAACATAAAAATAAAAAAGTAAAGAAAAACTCGTGATTATACAATAGTATAGCTGTGCAATGAAGGTGAACATAACACAATTTGAGTAACGTTTAGCTCATACAATAATGAGTAAGGTTTGACGGAAAATATTGTTATTAGTAATAGTGACGATGTCTTCGGGAAGGTGGTTTCAATATACTGATGTACGAGGTATAAATGATCGAGAAAAACACTGGGAGTTGCAGGATGCTATTCCAACCTTATGACGATGGTCAATGCGAGGGAATATGTACTGAGGATTGAGGATCAATTGGTTATGTAGGGTGGGATGATGGAATAATTTGTGAAATGTACTCAGACGAGATATTTTCCGACGGGATGCAAGGGATGGCCCCTGATAACCTAGGAGAAACAGCTCAGCGTGCCCTTCTAGCTGTATACAATGACTCGTGGAGCAACGGTTTGGTTCCTCCTTCGTGGAAGTGCAGCCGCCTTGTGCCCCTGCTCAAACCAGGGCAAATCGACTCTGGACATGGCCTCCCGCGCTTGCCAGCTGTTTTGGAAAGGTGATAGAGAGAATGGTGCTGACTCGCCTGGAGTGGTACCTGGAACATAACAATATATGCCCCGATGCTTTGACCGGCTTTCGACGTGGATGGTCTTCCATAGACAATGTTGTTGATCTTGTCATGTCCATACAACAGCAGAAAAGCCTAAAGAGATTATCAGTGTCACTTTTCTTGGACATTAAGGCTGCATATGACAATGCACTACATGAAACCATCCTGGACGCCTTGGGCAGCACTGGATTGGAAGGCCGCGTTTACCAACGGATCTACAACTATTTGAAGGACAGAACCTTCTTCGTTCAGACTGAAGATGGTGCAACAAGGCACCATCATACTTATCGCGGCGTAGCTCAAGGTGGGGTGCTAAGCCCCATACTTTTCAACCTTGCGCTCATCGGCCTCGTTGACGTCCTGCCACACTCCGTACATCTGTCGATATACGCGAACGACATCTGAATCTGGGAATCAGGGGTCACGCGTCTACACGTACGAGCCAGGCTTCAGACAGAGGCTACACTGACGTCAATTTACCTTCAAGAACGAGGACTGGAACTGCCATCTGAGAAACGATCACTGGTTGCGTTTACGCGCAAGATAATGACGACATACCGCATCAGAATTAATGGACACACGATCAGCTATTAAAAGACTCACCGTTTCCTGGGAGTAATAATAGATCGTGACTTGTCTTGGAGCCCTCATATCGCTCACATGAAGAAGAAACTGACCATGATCACCCACGTGCTAAGGTTTCTTGCGGGAAAATCATGGGGTGCGTCGGTACGAGCCATGCTTCAACTATATGCTGCACTTTTTCTTGGCTTCATGCGTTACAGCGTACTTGTGCTTGGCAAGGCCCGCATCAGATGAAAAACTTCCGGCCAATAAAATAACGCACACAGGAAACGAAGAAGGAGACAGGAAAGAGGCCAGACTACCAACTGTTTATTCACATATGCGTGGCTCAAGTATATATACTCATACGGTCACATGGTGAAGCTAAGTGCTCTTTAAAAAATAACCAAAAATTGCCCAAAGTAATAAACTGACTCATAATCATTCAAAGCTTTCTTCGCTCTACTAATCGCTACAGATTACAAACAAGATTCTAGGAACGTGTTTTCCTTCCTGCGCAGTGTCACGGAGCTATCGCTGCAGCATGCTTCACCACTCTTTGCAATATGAAAAGCTTCCAAAATTTCCCGTGCCAATTTTTCATGGCTTTTGCCTAAAATCTTGATTTCGTTCAGCAGTGGCTTACAATTGCACTGTTTACAATGAAGGGCTAGATTGGAGCCTGTGCCTTTCTCAAGTGATTTGAAATGTTCCCAGGCCCTAAAATTCACACAACGCCCTGTTTGGCCTATGTATAACATCCCGCACGTCAATGGAATTGCATACACCACGCCAACAACACACTTCACAAAAACCTTCCCATGCTTCGCCTCACACTGAAACTTCTTCTTTTTCCCGATGCGGGAAAAACTTGCGGGGGCTCGAGTTGCGGGACCCATTCTTAACAAAGAATTCGACAGATGTCATTGCTTTTCTAAAAAAGAAGCAGAAGGAAATAGGTTTTTTATTTTCTATTGATGTCGAGGATTTGTTCTACTCTGTACCGCATACAGAGCTGTTTAAGTCTGTCCGAGAGTGCATTGAGTGTAATGGAACTGTTGCATTTCAAAATTCTGTGGGCATTAGTGTGGACAAGTTTATGTCGCTCCTCGAGTTTTACCTTCAGGCGACGGTTGTTTCCTTTGACTCAGGCTTGTTTGTTCAAAAGAAAGGGATATGCATTGGATCTTGCGTTGCCCCTGTGCTGTGTAATATTTTTTTATCTTCCATTGACCGGGATTTAGAATCCACGTTTGACAAAGGCACTGTCCTGCAAATATTTAGATACGTGGATGACTTTTTGGTAGTTTTAGCAGCTGATTTTAATCTGACTTATGACAACACCGTACAAAGCGTATTATGCTACTTTAAAAACCTAGGGAAAGGCCTGAGTTTTACGCATGAGGTGCCGCTGAACAATAGCCTCCAATTTTTAGACATAAACATTAGATGTTGTGATGGAAACGTGTGTTGGATGTATTCGCCAAGAGCAAAGAAAGAGCTGTTACCGTATAACTCTTCACACTCTAAAACGGTAAAGAGGGCCATCGGTTCTCTTTGCCTTGAATCTGCCCTGACAAAGTCATGTGAGCACATGCTTGAGACGAGCTTCACCGCCCAGATAGAGAGACTAAAAAACGCTGGCTTTCCCAGTTCTGTTTTGACAGCTGTTGCTGAAACGTTACTACAAAAAATGAAAGGAAAAAAGAAAACCAAACAGACAGGTCCAGAGCAGAGGATACCACAGGTGTTGCCCTATACGCACCGTGTAGCGCATGGCTTGAAAAAAGTGGCGTTCAGGTTTGGAGTGTCCGTGGTATTTTCCGCACCAAGGAAATTGGGTGGTTTGTGTGCACGCATCGGGAAAAAGAAGAAGTTTCAGTGTGAGGCGAAGCATGGGAAGGTTTTTGTGAAGTGTGTTGTTGGCGTGGTGTATGCAATTCCATTGACGTGCGGGATGTTATACATAGGCCAAACAGGGCGTTGTGTGAATTTTAGGGCCTGGGAACATTTCAAATCACTTGAGAAAGGCACAGGCTCCAATCTAGCCCTTCATTGTAAACAGTGCAATTGTAAGCCACTGCTGAACGAAATCAAGATTTTAGGCAAAAGCCATGAAAAATTGGCACGGGAAATTTTGGAAGCTTTTCATATTGCAAAGAGTGGTGAAGCATGCTGCAGCGATAGCTCCGTGACACTGCGCAGGAAGGAAAACACGTTCCTAGAATCTTGTTTGTAATCTGTAGCGATTAGTAGAGCGAAGAAAAGCTTTGAATGATTATGAGTCAGTTTATTACTTTGGGCAATTTTTGGTTATTTTTTAAAGAGCACTTAGCTTCACCATGTGACCGTATGAGTATATATACTTGAGCCACGCATATGTGAATAAACAGTTGGTAGTCTGGCCTCTTTCCTGTCTCCTTCTTCGTTTCCTGTGTGCGTTATTTTATTGGCCGGAAGTTTTTCATCTGAAGCAATGCACCAACTAGCCCAACAACGAGTATTATTGAAAGGCCCGCATAACAAACGTACGCGTCCTCCAGTCATTACAAGCTCAAGCACTGATAATATGCCTCGGGCTTCCGAGATGCGCATCCTCAGCAGCGACTGTCAAAATCACTCATGAACACGCTATCGCAACCTAGATTCGTGTCGATGCTTTAAGAACGCACATAAAACATGCCACCCGTATTCAATCGCATCACCTTGCCTCCCTTCCAACTTCCAGGCCACGCTCTGTGTACTGCTCTATTATTGTCCCACATCGCACGGTGATTCCCACGAACTTCACGCACGCAGCAAGACCGTCGTTACCATTGTGGTGTCTACATGCACTGGAAGCCCTGATAACCATCCCCGGAATGCAAAAGAAGAAAAATTTGTCAAATTTTGTCCTAAAATAAACAACATTACTGTTTCTGCAAGAGAAACACAGTGGACGCATTCACATTTACACGAATGGATCGGTCACTTCAACAAGTTCAACAGGCGCAGTGGCAATTCCGGAGAAATCAATCACGATAAAGTTCAGGACCTCGCATCTGACATCATCCACGGCGGCAGAACTCGCCGCCATTCGTGCCGCTCTGGAGTTCCTAGTTGAAGAACCGCAGCAGACATGGTCAATCTTCTCCGACTCCAAAGCAGCCCTCCAGGGCATTGCCTCGCCATATCGTCATGGATCAAACTACAACTAATTGCTGAAATACGACTGCTTCATCACCGGGCTATAGAGAAACAACATGACATAGCGTATCAATGGATACCAGGCCACTGCAGCATTGATGGAAACGACCGTGCAGATGAAGCAGCCCGATCTGCTCATGATGATGCCTCTTGTGCAGCTATACCATTATCAAGAACGGACGCCGCTACAAGGCTTCGATCACTTGCACGAGAACTGACACTCGCTCAGTGGAAATCACTGGCATTCACCAACATCCGCCTTCATAATTTGGACCCACACCTACAGCTCCGTCTTCCATCAGGAATAACCAGAGCTGAGGAGACACTTTTGTGCCGTCTGTGGATTGGGGTGGCCTTTACGAATGCTTATTTTTTTCGAATCGAAATGGCCAGCAGCCCGACATGTGACAACTGTGGCTGCGCAGAGACTTTCTCCCATCTTCTCTGCGAGTGTCCTCGCTTCAGTGCGCCAAGAAAAGAACTATCGAAAGCTTTAAATAGACTAGACAATCGCCAATTGTCGGAAGAAAGGGTATTAGGACACTGGCCGAGACCGTCCTCTGCACGCAAGGCATTGAGAGCGTTGTTGCGCTTTCTGCGGGCAAGTGGTCTTAGAGACAGACTGTAAGCAGCGTCCTGGATCGTCTGATGACCTTCTCTCTTTTTTTCAACGTCTCTTTTTTCTCATCTTTTATTCCCCTTACCCCCTTCCCCAGTACAGGGTAGCCAGCCGGTCTGAGAACCTGGCTAACCTCCCTGCCCTTCCTCTTTCAATCCTCCTCCTTCCTCTATTTGAGACACTATGGCCACATTACGCACTTAAAATTGAATTAGTATGTCTACTAAGCTTGGATTTAGGTTGGGTCCTGCGCAGAGAACGTCGTTCAACGATAGCTTCTCTGCTGCTTTGGAGGACGCATGAAATACAACCCTCCACTTGGTTGTTTCACTACCTGGCCGGGCAATCTTCTTGGTGTGGCATGTAATAGATGGGCCTCTGCGGGGACTCACCCAGTTCATTGGCTTCCTCAGTGTGTGCGACTTCAAGGTAGGTCTGGATTAGTCTGGTCATAGCGGCGGATCGGATTCGTCATTCCGCAGCAGTTTCTCAAAGAGTGAGTGAAGCTTGTGCGATGCCGTTCCCCTGTCGTCCGTCAGCTGCGATTCGTTTTCTTTCCGTGGAAACCTGACTTCGTATTGACTGTTCTCGTGGAGGATGTTGTTCTCGAATGCCCCAAGAAATTAGTCGTTTTCAGTGGTCAGCGGTGCGCCATTGATAATATCATGGTGTTCCAGTTCCCGGAATGGTCTAAGCTGAGAAACGTCATCTGGTTCCTGTCTCACGCTCATGCGCATCACGCCGACGCTCACCAGGTGCGTCGGGCAGACAATGTTGTGCTTGTTCCTTGCAGCACTCATCGAAACACAGTCCTTGCGGCTACGAGCCTCTCGTTGAAGCGCTTCACACTACCTGTTTTGACGTCCCAGTAACTCCAACAAGCAGCTCAATTCCAACTCCAGGATGGTAGCCGTCAGGTACTGCGTCAGCAAGTTTGAGGCCCCCTTCCTGCGTGAGGTGGGTAAGGGGGTCGTCTGGTGGTGGCACCAGGTCTCCGCTGGTCTCAGGTATCTCGAATGCTTTTATGCGGACTCTGGTGTTGCTGCGACAGTTTTTCAGCCAGCATTCTAACCGACGACAGCGTCTTTCCTCCATCGGCGTCTGGCTTCCGAAGGCATCGATGGTCAGCCTCGCCTCTCCTATGACGTAGATCTTTAGACGACGGGAAACCTCCTCTCGTATGAATGTTATCTGTCTGTCACCGTCAAGCAACATTCGCACCAAAGCAGTCATATTTTCTCCTTCTGCGAACGCTCATGTCGTTTGTAGAGGTACCCGCGCCTTTCCTTGAGTTCGTTCCACCTGTTGCGATGACTGCACTGTGATACCGGCCGCTGAAGTACCTTCACTTGAGGGAAAGCGGCGCTGTTCTTTGGTTGAGCTCGCAGACGCCCATTGCGTGCCAGTCCCGAACACTTCGCACACTTGAGCCATCTCGATGTTCGGCACTCCGTGGCGCGGTAATTTCTTTTCGCAGCAGCTTGTAACAGGGCCACCTGTTTTCACATCTCCGCCCTGTTCTTGTCTATGGGAATGGCAGTGATAAGCTTTCCGCAGTGTGCCCTTCTTGATCACAATAAATGCAGAGGACTTCACATCCAGTGACTGCTGGAGCAGACGTGGATGGTGTTTGATGGCGATCTCCACTGCTTGGAGCATTCTGTTTTATAGCGGCGTCAGGCACCGGTCGTAACGCGCATTGTGCTCTCTCTCGGCTCTCTACCTCCGCCTTCAGGAAATTTATGTACCGATGAAGGTGATCTTCAGGAATGGCTTCTAATGTTGTTTTTCTTCAATGGTAATACTTGCTGCAAAGCTCATTCGGGATTCTTCTCCGGAGAACGGTCAGTAGAAGCACGCCATGTGTGCTCGAAGCCACATCCTATGCCTCGAGACTGCGGACGCCCGTCTGGAGTTCATCGTAGAGTGTCCTCAGCCTCTCGGTGTCTTGAATATTTTGCACCGAGCGGACCGCAAGCAATCTCGACATGTGCTCCTCAATGATGACCTCGTTCTTGCCAATCTTTCGACCAATGTTCTCGCAGAAATTTTGCAGTTTCGTTCACTGGTGGAAAATCTGTCGATAGCAGCCGCAGTCTTTCCGGTCAGATAGCTGGTCATATACAGGAACTTGTCGATGGTATGGAGCGATGGATTTTTTTTTAAATCGTACACTCGAACTGATCCCGGAATTTGATCCACGAGCGCAGATTCCTGTTGAACTTCGCAATCTGCAGCTTCGGAAGTCTGGTTGTCAATGACGGTTACTGGAGAGACGAAGGCGCCACTGTAGTCGGAACAGAACCAGAATATAGTGCTTGTTTCAAATCAGTGGTTCCTGATGAGGTGCTTGACCTTGTTTCACTTAAGGCTTCATTCTTTAGAGCTCCCTTGATTTTGGTCTTTACGGTGGTGATCTTTTTGTTCCAGCCAATGCATTTGGTGAGCGTGGTATCGAGTTCCCGCAGCTCTAATTTTCTCGATGACATCGTTTACCATCTTTAGTTAATTTGCTTGCTCTAATGAGATTTCCAAAATGTTCTTCCAGCTCAGCGATTGCTGTGGCTGGTGCTTGCAGCATGATGCTGCTCTCAGCGATTATGGCGTTGGTGGCCTGTCGAAAGGTGGTTTGCTTTTTCTGCAGTCGCTCCATGGCGCTTCCGGTGTCAGCTGGCGAAATAATCCCTGGTTTTGGCACGACAAAAATGTGGATGATTACTCGCGCTCTTCTTCGCTGCGCGGTGACAATAGCAGGGTGGCTGGGCCGCGCGCACTGGAGTCTAGAAAACATGACATTCATTGAATTTGTGGAGCAGGGACGGTATTAGATGGCTATGTCTTCAAATCACCGGACCAAAAATTTCTTTGTGTGAATGCACTTTTTTTCATTTTCCTTTTTTTTATTTTTAGTAAAGCATTCTCTCTGCAAATCCCTCTTCTACCTTTAGTTTGTCTTTTTTTTTATGTCTTCACAACTTGGGAGCCGACTAGCCAACACACACATGTTTATTTCAACGAGCAATACAACGGAATCCCGCACCGCACACCCGCGGCGGTCTTATATCTAACAAAGAACTTAACAGTGACGTCAGAGAGCCAGACACTTCCATGTGCATCTTATCTTATATACGACACGCGCTCTATCTTGGGTAGTATTACACAACACTCCTTCCCCCCCCCAAGTGTTTTTAGTACCGATCCGGCGGTCGTCTTTGCCGGGTGCTGCGTCGAAGTTCCGGAAGTTCCGGTGGGGAAGATTGAGTCTCGCCCCCGCCGCAGTCCCCACCAGCAGATGAAGGGCCCGGTAGGTTGACCGGTTCTTTGTTTGTATCTTCTGCCTGCTCCTCGACTTGATCGGGGTCGGCCGTCTCTCGTGCGCCCTCGATGGGTACAGGGGCACCTAAAGACCTGCGAGGCACAACGTCTTGGGTGCATGCGGGAAGTTCGTAGTTTGC